CCCCCCCCCGAAAAAAAGCCAAAAACCAACAAAATCAACCAAACTCCAAGACCTCCATCTATTCCCAAAAAAAGAACTTCACTTACATTCACTTTACTCCACTCAACTCCACCACCTACCTATCTATCACCCCAATTCACCAATTCACCACCTCACCAACTACCTCACCTCACCACATGCCTCATCACACAGCCACACAGCCACACCACTCAAACCCGCACACACAACTTCACCACCATCATCATCATCACCACAACAAAAACTGAATAAACCTACTCTATCACAATATACCCACATATTTATCCACATAATATCCAAGGCCACCTATCCACACGCCTAGCCTGGATTCTACGCACTTATGACCAACAGACAATCAATCATGTCTCCTCCTCCTCCTCCTACTCCTACTACTTTAATACCCCTTCATTATACCCGTCGTCGTACTTTGGTTACTATTTCGTACCTATCATGGCATCTCCCACATGCCCTTATCATCCCCCCAGGTTACCCGTATACCAACAGATTCAATGTAGCAAGTCATCCATCCAATCACCTGTAGGATCTCGGTTACCGTAAGTATACTCCACTCCCTCTCTCAATCATTAGTAATTTTACAAAGGGAAAAAAGCTCCCTCCCCAATAACCATGCACTGGCCATACAGCAGGACAACAAGGAACCTACTATAATGCATATATAATGAGTACAGTCCATTACAATTTGCTTGTCTCAATACTAAGTCCCCACCAAACAGTCATATTCAAAAGCAAGCTGGGAAGGGTCCTGCAACTTTTCATTTCATTTCATTTCATTGATTCCATTTCCATTTGCTTTGCTTTGCCTTCGTTGCCGTGTATATTCTCCTTTTGCTCCCTTGACCAACTTCCCCACCATCAACCATCATGCAAGTGTATGTACCATTTCCCTCGCATCACAAACGCCCACACATACAAAAAAGAGGCCCAAGCCAGTCAACAAGGAAAAAGAAGAGAAGAGGGAGCAAGAAAAAGAAACCGTACGCAATGAATGACTGAAGAATGTAGGTAGGTAGGTAAGCCGCATTCGTTAGGTAAAGTGGTGAGAATTGTATCAGAATCCCTGGTGAACCCACTTTCCGCCATTTTCGAGTTCCAAACCCCTTCGCAATTCTGTGCTATCGTATCTGGTCACCATACCATCAAGTCAAGAGCGATTTCACATCTAGTACCTGCCCCTTGTAGACATGCAGAGAAATCCTCGGTAGTTTTGTGAAGTTCTTCATCATCACGTTATCCTCTGAAAGGACAGCCGAAACCAGTAGCAGTAACGTTCTATTCAAATCAATAACCATTCGCATATTGATCTTGTTCCATCATGGTATCAGGCTGAGGTTCTGTAGACTGCCCATCCTCACCGATATGATGGTAGTCAAGAATTTCGGAATACCTGCAAAGAAAACAAAAACCAGTCAGTCAGACTTTCTTTCTCCCAAGCAAAAACCCCATTCGATCGTCCCCCACCAACCTCGAAAGCTGTAGTGTATCGCAAAAATCAGGGAGGAATTACACTACCGCTTTCAAGATTCGGCGGCTTGTTCTCGTTGGTATTCGTAAAGTTGCTCGTACATCATGATTTTCCATGTGTCCACCGGTAGGTCCGCATCATTAAATGACCAATCAAACTTCTCTTCCGCAGCTGGCTCATCGGTAGGGTCGTGGTATGGAGAGAGATATTCGTGCGCGAGGGCATCGGCAGCCTTGACTCGCTTTCGAGGGTCGAATACTAGCATATCTTCTAGGAGGTCGATTGCTACGATAATTAGCCTTGCCAGAAGAGAAAAACTCCTAACATACCTGAAGGATCAGCATTTCTGAATTTGTCTTTCAAGGGTTGTCTTTCCCGCTTTGGAAGGGATTGAACGAATCTCAATGTCTAAATTCTCATTAGTATGCCACCATTATTTTACTTGATAGCTTAAATCTTACGTTCTCGCTGGCAATGGATTGGATCACATCATCTGGTGGAGTACCTAATAACTCGGTAATGATGGAGAATTGGTTGACGTGATCCTTTCCTGGGAACAAAGGCTTGCCCTCCAACATCTCGGCAAAGATACATCCGGCACTCCAGATATCTACTTCGACATCGTATTTCTGCCATGTAAGCATAATCTCAGGGGCTCTGTAGTATCTCGTAGAAACGTAACCGGTCATCTGAGGATCCTGTAAACGGGCGAGACCAAAATCGCAGATTTTGAGGTCGCAATTCTCATTGACAAGGATATTGCTGGGCTTGAGATCACGATGAACGACACCTGCAGAGTGAACGTATTTCAGGCCACGCTAGGAGAATTGATTAGTGCTGGTGATTTGAATATGTGTGTGGGTCATTACCAGGATCTGGTAGAGGAAGTATTGGATGAACTGCTTCTCCAGAGGCCTAGATGTCAAAAGGCGATGCAGATCGGTACCCAGAAGCTCGGTGACAAAGTAACTGCAGAGGTTGTGAGAAAATATCCACGGACACCAAGTATTCAGATCCTTACATATCCTCAAGAGGCGAGATGAAAATATCGCTGAGCGAGATAACCTGTACCAAATCAGCATGCCGAACATGTAATCTTTCCAACCAGTTTACGCACATTTTCATGCTTCAGATGCTTCAGCAACTTCAATTCTCGGTAGGTTCGTTTCGACAGAACGGGAGTACTGAAGGGTTTCATGATCTTCTTGACCGCGACATTTTGGTTGGTGAGGTTGTCTTTGGCAGAGCTAGACGTGGTAGCGAAGAGTCAGCTCCGAAAAGGCACAGCAGAATCCAGCAGGTAGAAAATGGAGAGATTGTACTTACCAAACCAGACCAAATGCGCCCATTCCAACGGGTTGGAGGTCGGAATATCTGTGCGACGCTGTATCAGCATTGTTGCGTTGCCTCCGAAGGCGCGGTCGCCGCAGAGGGGTAGGGAGAACCCCGCGTACCTGGAAGTGATCTCGAAGGTGGTCCCAAAGATCTGGGCTCGTACGAATTCCGCCATTGTAGCGGTGGAGGGAGAGAGGAGGAAAGGAAGTGGGAGTGGAAGAGAGCGAGGCTGGAAGCTTCGCGGGAGACAAATTTTTCTAGGAGTTGTCGGATGTTAGATGGATTGCAGTGGTGGTTGTGTTAGGACGTTAGAGGATGGTCGCGAATTAGGTGGGATGGGAATC